GTGTGTAACTGCTCCCCGGTGGGGGGGGGTGTAACTGCTCCCCGGTGTGCTCGTCATTCCACTGACACCAGCCTTACTCTCTGGGGCTCTCCACCATCCTGACTTGCTGGGCCAGATCCTCTGGTCTCTCCCTCAGACAAGGCCCAGAGCTGGGAGCCCATCCCCTGAAGAGCAAGGCAGACACTGAACTACTGCAGTACGAGGGCTGGCACCCAGGGTACCAACCCCCCAGATAAATCCATCTTTCTCTGTGTCAGTCTGGCACAGTGAAAGCTCATTCAGGCAACCGCCTTTACCAGTGAAAGTGGCCCACACACTGTTCGCTCCCCCCAGGTAACAATTATTTACACTGGCCTGATGGCAAACAAAAGTGTTTGTATTAAGTACAAACAGTAGGAGTTAAGGCGTTGAAAGTGGAAAGAGGCAGAGCAAGGTAAATGACTCAATGAAAATGAAAGCAAATGCACAGCTAGTGCTGATACAGTAAAACGTAATGCAAACGTGGAAGCTGTTCTTACGTCAGGCAAGCCAAAGATGATCTTTTCCTCCGACTTGAGTCTCCAGTTCTCTTTGCATCCTAGTGTGCTAGGCCACTCTCCAGACCAGCCAAAGCCAAAGCCCGAGAACTTCCCCTGGCTTAAATAGTCTTTCCCCACAGGGCGGGATCTTTTGTTCGCCATTCCCCCCTTCCATTGAAAATTACTGGTCAAACTGGAATCCCAGTGTCACATGTCTTCCTAGGACCAATCACTGCTTGGACTTACAGGACAAACAGGGCTGTTCTCAAGTCCTTTAAGCTTCAGAGGGGTAGCGGAGTTAGTCTGTGACTGGAAAAACGTAGAAAACAACAAATGGTCCTGCAGCACCTTAGAGACTAACAAACCATGTAGATGGGAACATGATATTTCGTGGGCACAGCCCATTTAGCACCTTTACTCTACTTACGTTACATTGGCAACACCTCCATCATATGGACCCACGGGAAAGAGACCCTTGAAGAATTCGACTGGGAGTTCAGCAACTTCTGCCCCACCATCAACCTCAGCCTGGATCAGTCACACAGGAGAGCCACGTCCTTGACATCACAGTACAATTACATGACAGACATATTTCCACCACCTTATACTGGAAATCTACCAACCGCTACGTTTACCTACATGTAAGACACGTTTCTCAATCTATTGTTTACAGCCAAGCCTTAAATTACAACCAGATTTGCTCCAATCCCACAGACAGAGACAAACACCTACAGGATCTATATAGAGCATCCTTACAACTGAAATACCCAGCCGGAGAAGTGAAAAACAGATCGATAGAGCCAGCAGAGTACCCAGACATGAACTACTTCAAGACAGGCCCGGAAGAGAAAACAACAGAATTCCACTTATCACCTACAGCCCACAACTTCAGCCCTTCCAATGCATTATCTACAACTTATCATGGAACATGACCCCTCACTCTCAGAGGCCTTGGGGGAAGGGTAGTCCTCACCTACAGAGAATCCCTAACCTCTAACAAATTCTTTCCAGTAACCATGCAGCATACCTCCATCATAATCATCTAGGAACCCACCTCTGCAATCAGCCCCGGTGCCAACTCTGCCCACACATCTACACCATCGATTTCATCACTGGATCCAACTACATCAGTCACCAAATCAGAGGCTCATTTAACTGCACATCCTCTAACATGATCTATGCCATCAAATGTCAACAGTGCCCCTCTGCCATGGATATCGGCCAATCTGGACAGTCCCTATGGGAAAGAATTAATGGATACAAATCAGATATCTGAAAAGGCAACACACAGAAACCTGTTGGAGAACACTTAACCTACCCAGGCACTCATTAATGCAGTGGTCACCAGCCTGCAGATCGGGATCTACCACTAGATCTTGGAGCCTCTGACAAGTGATCTTGTCTGGTTTGGCCAGGAAGCTCTCAAGCACTGGCACTTCAGTTGCCCCTCCACCCACTGTCAGTTGTTCCTGCCCTCTGCCTTGCAGCTGCCCCCCTGGGAGCCTCCTGCTTGCTGTGCAGGGTGTGGGAGGGAGAAGGAGAAAGGGGGGGTGATGTCAGGGTGTCCCTCCTCTCCCCACCACTTCTTTACCCTTTCTCCACACAGATAGAAGGGGATGGAGGAGTTTGACAATGCAAATCGCTGTCATTCTCTCTCACACACACACACACACTGACTGTCCTTCCTTCTCATCTCCTGACCCAACACACATGTGGGGTTGTTGTTACTGCTTGCCTCTGCAGCCCGAGAGAGGCAGAACACATGCTGTCCACACGCGGTCCTTCCCTGCAGACACCACTCCTGCAGCTCCCGTTGATCAGTGATGGGGAACCGTGGCCAGCAGAAGCTGTGGGCTCAGAGCCGGTAGATGAGGGGCAGCACATGGCACCATGGAGCCACTGCTGGTACATGCCAGCTGCTTTCAGGAGTGGTGCAAAGCCAGGGCAGGAGTGAGCCGCCTTAGCTCCACTGCTCCATCACCCGGATGTCATCTCAGTTAAACGGTGCCCAGCCAGAGCCTGCTTCCTGAACCCCTGTCCCAGCCCTGAACCTAGGGCTGCCAGATGGTTTAACCAAAAATACCGAAAGCCCTCCATGCAAAAAAAACCAACAAAAAACCCACTGTTGAGAAAAAAAGTGTGTGGGTGGGTGTGGGGGGGACCAAAGTTATTGAGGGGAAAAAAAAGGACCCTGACAGTTATTAAGCAAAAAAACCAGCATGGCCCCTTTAAGGCCTTTGGGGTTTTTTGCTGGTGGCCATCTTGTTTTCTTACTGTGCAGGAGGAGAGCTCCCCTGCAAACCAGGTAAGTGGAGAAGAAGGGAGATTCACACAAGAATGAGCCGTGCACCAGGCGAGGCTCTGCAGATCCAGCAGAGCACGACACTAACACTGAGGGTGACACGTAGTATTTTGCCCAAAGCGCTTCTGAGGGCCTTTGGGGTTTTTTGCTGGTGGCCATCTTGTTTTCTTACTGTGCAGGAGGAGAGCTCCCCTGCAAACCAGGTAAGTGGAGAAGAAGGGAGATTCACACAAGAATGAGCCGTGCACCAGGCGAGGCTCTGCAGATCCAGCAGAGCACGACACTAACACTGAGGGTGACACGTAGTATTTTGCCCAAAGCGCTTCTGAGATACAA